ACAAAGGAATAGATCTCATGACTTCTATAATTATTAGCTTGAATCTCATAGAATTTCTTCCTGGCCAAAAGTCCCACAAAAATATTTCTACATCACAAAGCTGGTATTTCAGAGTGGAAGTTAAGAGCTGTCTGGCCTCCTAATCAGTGCTCTTAGGCCACTCTCTGCATGCTTTATCATTCTCAGTTCACAGACAAGGGCATGGCATTGACATGGCCCATCTAAGACCAGGTTTGAATGGGAAGTAGAAGACATCTCTTAAGTCCCAGAGTATGAACCCTTAAGAAAGGTTGTGAAATTGACTACTGTGAGACTGACATCGGGTCGCATTTGAACTTAGGTTCTCAACCATCGTAGAAACACATAGAAGCTTCAGGTGGGACTGAGCCCCAAAGAGAAGCATCAGTTTCAGCCATGAAGACCTCAGTGTTTGACAGTTCAAAACTGTGCAGTGATCACCCAAAGAAAATTCCTGTTTGTACCTAGAATTAAGAGCAAATGCAATCTCAGTCTCTCAATAAAGTGAACTTAAACATGTAAATTTGGTAGTCCCTCTACTGCAAATGGCATCCTAGAAAAAATAGTGATTATAGGCTCAGCACTGCCAACCATATACACCATAGCTGGTAGGTTCAAACCCAGCCTGGGCCTGCTAAACAACAATGACAACTGCAACAAAAAAATAGCCAGGTATTGTGGTGGGCACCTTATAGTCCCAGCTACTTGGGAGGCTGAGGCAAGAGAATCACTTAAGCCCAAGAATTTGAGGTTGCTGAGCGGTGACGCCACTGCACTCTACCAAAGGTGACATAGTGAGATCTGTGTCAAAAAAAAAAAGTGATTATGATGACCATATCAAATATAAGTGCTAGGAGGACTGCATAAAATATGAAAGCAAGTAAGTCCTTACAAAACTATCATGTTTTCGAATATGGTATTTTTATAGACACCATGGGCCCACTGTTGTATGAGTTGCAGTGATTGCTCAGTTAATATGAATACTAATTAAAATTGTGTGAATATTTTTCAAAAAGAGAAATACTACTTTTAGATGAAAATTGAGCACTTAAATAGATAGGATAAAAGAGATTGCATATATGGAATATTTGAAGTGGTGAATTGTTACTAGGGCAACAACTTAAGTAATGAGGCCATATATTCACAGCAATCATGGCAGTCAGCACCTTTAATCAACCACTTGAAAAACATTATAATAATTTCTTCAGCAGTAAGTTAGTATTCCTGGTTATTTGTGTGGGGAGGTCCTGCATTTCTAGACTCATACGCTAGCCTCAAGACCCATGTGGAGTGTTGTACTGTTTTCTCAATGTGTTAACTACTTTCGGAGAGAGTTGAACATGGGCCTCTTCTCCAGTTTCTCTGACTCTCTCCAGAATCAGTCCATGTTCAAGGACAATAGCATGAACTGTTACAGAAGAGTGACTTTGTCACACAAACCAGTGTAGAAAGGCATGGATTGTCTCCCAGCCCCACCACAGAGTCTTGCCTCGACCGTATCCCATTTTATTTACCACTGCAAAATCCTAAAAGTTACTAAATACTGCAAACCTGTACTTCTGATAAGTCTGCTATTAATAATAGGAGACCCCTGGCTTCTGTGTGGTCTTTGTGTCGTCTGCTGATCTTTCTTTGTATCTGTTGGGTTTTATTTAGCCACATAGACTAATACCAACAAGTGGAGGAATATTACATATTACTACGTTAGATAATTTTTTTAGCATGACTTCACTGTTTCGTTCATTGCTATCCGTACGAGTTGGACTCCATTCAGAAGCTAAATTGATAGATACCTGATCTTGCAGAGGGAGGACGAGATGATAGCTGAGTTCCTCTAGACATAGGATCCAGCTGATTTTTTTCAGTTGTGCTAGTAGACATTGAGAAGCCACAGACCACTGTTTCTTCCTCTCTTTCCCTCAGTTCCTATCACATTACAGTTTACCCCGAGATTGCATCCCACTGCAGGAGACGAGACAGCCACCTTCGGGTTTCTATGTACAAAGCACCACCAGTGTGCTGCAGGGCCTTGTAGAGTCTCTTCCCAAAGTTTGGGTCTCTTTCTATCATTTTTGTGACGAATTCTAAGGACCAATCAAAATTCCAGTGAAAATTAAAGTGGAAGATAATTTAACCTTTTTAAGGGATGGCTCTCATTGCCGTGAAAAGATGTTTCATTTAGTTTCCTCCTAATATTGAAGAGCGATGCTTGGGATCGAGGGATTTATTTGTGAAACCAACGAGGCCCATCTCTAAGGCTGTGTTTCTGTTGCTTCCTGTTTCGTCCTCCCCTTCAGCAGAGAGAGCCCTCCTCGCGGTTGAGGTCCTGCAGTGTCACGGACGCGGTTGCAGAACAGGCCCATCTACCACCGGTAACCATTGCTAATTTCCGGTCATCAGCTGGCTTTTTAGGCACTTACGTAAAATCATCTGGGCTGCTGTGAAAAGAGTTTTTCCTGTCAAAATCCATTTACCATATAAATGAGACATTTTAAAATTTCCTGGGAAGTCGCTCAAGGAGAGTGGATGTTCAGTACAAAGAATTGTCTTTGCCACTAAAGTCTCTAAAATGCTAGCACTTCTGTTGCTTTAGTTTTTTCACCCAAATTGATACCAGTTTTGGTGTACTTACTTAAACTACTTGGTACGTTAATGATTCCTTGTACTTTACGCAGTTACTACAGCCTTGCTGCAGTGACCTGTGCTTTTGAAAATACACTGATCTCTTTAAGCAGGAAGAACTCTTGTGGGTGGCTGGCCGCATATTCCTTTCTCTGCTCATGGCTTGAACTTTTTAAAATATATTTAATGGCTTAAACTCTTGACTCCACAAAGCCTTTGTACCTTCTCTTTAAAGGCAGCTCTACTGACCAAAGAATTAGCTATAGTTTTTTCCCACTCTTCCATCATTTTAATAGCTGTCAGTCAGCAGATTTAGACATGTAAAGAGTTTAATAACATCCGATACACTGAGGAATAAATATTCCCATTGGAAGGCAAGCCAGAACTGCCGTGGGAGATGTTTGATATACACGTTAAAAAATAAGAAATTTTACATAAATGTATTTCTTCTTTAGGAGGTGAAAATATTGTGAGGTTTTTAGATGTTCGGTTTGACATTTGACCTTGACCAATGTTTTTTATTGCTACAAAACCTTGATCATTTTTGCAGTCAATGTTTTGTTTTGTATGAGTTTGAAGAGGAAAAAGTATATCTAAGGTTTCTGAAATCACAGTGTCTTATTGTATACATTTTTGCTTAACTTCAAAGGCTATTTTTGTCTAGGTTTTAGTTTCTTTAATGCTTAAAAAATGAATTAAGAGGATAGTAGTCCAAGTCAGCAGTCAAAATAATAAATTTAATTGTAAACTGAAAGCAGATAAACTAGTGAATAAGCTTGGCAAAAGCGTCCTTTCTGGGATGGTTTCAGTACAGCTCCCCAGCCCACCCCCAGAACAGAACAGTCAGCTGTGATGTCCTGGGCAGGATCCTTTTCAACCCAATGACATCTATGATTTTCCTTGAATTAATGGTATTTTCTTTCTTTTTCAAAATCGATATCAATTTTCTTTGCCAGAGAGCTCACTCTCCTGGAAACTGATGATTCCTCCTTTTTCCTTGTCCTCTGCAGTGCCGTAAACTCACTGATCACCAGTGCCCCTCGGTTTTGAGTGTGGCAGATGTAAGAATCTGCTATTACTTAACAGTAGGGTCCAAACCAGACTGGCTTTCCATTTTTCCCTAACTGGACAGCTCACTTTGTTGACATGGTCATTTTTCACCCGGATTGAGGATGCAGCCTGAGCCTCCTCGGGGTGGCTCGGTGTTGGGGTCCTGCCTTCCCTCTCTACTGGTCATCAGTGACTGCTCAGCTCAGTTTGATTTTAAGGGTTCCAATCTCACGTCACCTGCCTTTCCATGCTGCCACAGCAGTGATTCCTATTGCATTAAACCATGGGCTGTCCCCTAAGTGCCATTTCACTGATGTGAGTTGTCATTCACAGCCCAGTGCCCCAACTAGGAGAGCACGGTCATCAACTGTCACAGGTGGTGAGGAGACAACGGTAATGATCCTTTATCAGACATTCGTGACCAAAGTGGGGGCTGTTGTAATGTTTTATGTGGTGGTGAATATTCGTGTCCTTTTTAAAGTGAGACCAGCTTCTTTGTGATGCAGGCTGTACCTGTTTCTTATTTTTAAACTTCTCATTTTCAGATTGTTGAAAGGTATTGGGTAAAATAGAATGATTTTTAGTCCCATATAGTTTTATTAGGAATACTGACAGGCTTTGGTTAAATGTGTATAATTTGACCATTTAGAATATATTTTTGCTTTCAGTCTTTGTACTCTTGGTGAGATTTTCCTTTTTTGTTAAAATGCTTGGGCACAATAATCTGGTTGTAAGATAATCAGAGAAGCCACAAGAATTGCATGAGATTGTGCGATGCCCAGTTGCTCAGAACTGTTCTCTCCGTATCTTCCAGGCCTCATTTTCAATAGAAGATTAGACTTTTTTGTGTCTCCAGCATGAACCACTGGGCTTTCCTGCCACCAGGAGCTCTACTCACAGAAATAAACAAAATTTCATATAGTTCTACAATGGGGCATAATTCAGATATTTAAGGAATCTAGAAATATCGGTGTTTCACCAAACCAACTGTTATTCTTATGCATTATTTTGAATAATCTATAGTATTTGACTGTGTATTTTAATTGCCTGTTTTCTACTTAATCTCTAAAGGCAGGTTTATTATTCTTTGTGTTGCTATACCTATTGAAGAATTTCCTTGTTTCACCTTTGTTGTATTTGCTGTAACTGTTCATTACTTGTGAATAACTTTGCTTACGTATATACAATTGCTGATTACCTGGAGGTTGATGACTTAAAGGAACAATTCAGTTACACTGTTAGCATTTAGTGCTCAGTATTGTACAGAGGAAAATCAAATTGCAATCGTAACAATCAGCTCAGCTTAAGGTATTGAACTACAGTGGCTTATGTGAAATTCACGTCTTCATGGTGAGCCAGCCTTCAGAAAAATTCACAGAGTTCTAAGTGAACAAGTGTATTTCCTACTGTGCGCTAGTAATTTCTATGGGAGCAGCAGATCTACAAGGTAGGCAGGATCATCTGATGAAATGATTTTGGTAGAATTCAGTGCTGATGAATATCTTCTCTGTATCACCCATTTTTGCATTTTATTGGCCTTGCAACCTGAGATAGCTTTGGAGTATTATGATATCTCATGCAGTAAATGAAGGATAGCTGAATTATTACAGCACCAGGCTCCATGGTTACAGTTACCTAGCAGGACCAGGTGGCTCTTGAGACAACGCTTTCCTTGCCTTCTTGCTTGTACTCTCCCCTCCTCATCAGTGAGTTAAAATACAGGTTTGCTTTCTCTTTCAGTTTTTCAAGACTTGACCACAGGAGCTCCTGCTGTCATGTTTTGCCTTCCCTATATCTAGATAGGCTTGAAAGGGTCACATCTGTGTCCCTTCTACTGTATTCTGAATGTTTTTCCATGTGCTCTGTCCTGAATGTCCTTGCCTTTGTCTCTTCTAGCTCTCTTTTAACATGGTTTTTCTTTTTTTGGCACCTTCCATCACCCTATGCCGGAACTACCCTGGGATGTGTCTCTCCCCATCTGTGTGCTCACAGTATACATGTGTATGCACATGTGCGTGCATTGTCTCCTTTACTTTATTCTAGAAAAGTTATATGTCACATACAGATTATTCAGCACCTTGATTTTTTTTTAATTTATGTCCATTTTTCTGCGACATACTAATAATTACATCATATCCAGTGATGTGAGTGCACCATGGTTTTATTTAATTTTTCCATACTGAAGGACGTCAGCCACCACTATTCTTCCCCCACCCCCCACCCCCAGCTCTATGCACAGTGCTGCGGTGACCATCCTGGTATGTGTGTCTTCCAGTGCTTTCTTTTGTTCCCATAGTGTGATGAACAGGCCCCGATTCTTCCCTTGAAAAACCACAGTCCTTTGATTTAAGGCAGATAAATGCCTCTTGATGGAAGGCTAAGCCAGGGCCCTCCCTGTGCGGCAGAAGCAGAGGGGCAGCACAGTCCTCTCTGTCTTCACCGTGTATATTCTAAAGGCATCCACAGGCACCAGTGTGGCAGGTCTTGAAGAATCTGTGATGGTCAGTGTCAGAGTGGTCCTTTTTAAAAGCATCTTAACACACTGACAGTTTAGTAATTGGAGTCTTTGTTTTAATGAATGTAATGGAGCCACTCTGCAGCTCTGGTTCTTGCCTACTTGTCCATATTCAGTCTGCAGATGGAAGGCTGGGAAATGCTGAGCTAACTAGCAGTTTGTAACTTGTTACTTGTTACCTGATTGAGCCTGGGACGTGCACGTTGGCACAAAGCAGAAGTCTGATTTTGGCTCCAGGGGCAGCCCCTGCCAGGGGCTGTCTCTGGGAGCTGTGTCCTGCTCTCTTCACTAGCCATGTGGGGTGGGGGGCCAGGTTTTAAGTCACAAATGGAATCATCAGCACAGGTTGTTCTATGTGGTCATTTGGAAAGAACACTGAAATTAAAATAAAAAGCCACCTTGAGAACACCATCTTGCATAAATGCAACTAAATTGCAGGTTGCTGGTTCAGTTCTCAATAGAGGGGAGAATGAATATTTTAATCAAATTCAGTGTTCTCCACTATCCTAGTAATGTTTGATAGACTGATTAGTCCTTTAACTATGGGTCTATGAAAGTAACCTGGTTACGTAGAGCTTTAGAATTCACTTCTGAGATTATCTGTGACACATCGAAGTGATCAATCTGCTTCGTAATTATCCTGTCCAGGGATGCTGCCACCCTTTAAAATTATCCTTCAGGGTTTCTAGAACTGAGTTTTCTGAAATCAAAACTAATTGCCTGTCCCAAAAAATAGCTCAGAGGGAGGGAGGAAAAATAAATTCTATTTAGCATTCCATTTAACCAAAGCATTTTTGGTCAGTCACATAGACAATAGTTGGTCCAAACTTGATGGCATGTAGTTTGCCAGAAATATTGACAACTAACCTGGGTTATAAACTTTGTTCAGCAGAGTAGACTTTTTTAAGTGTCCACGTCAAGGTAGCCTAGAAATGACTCTTTTGTTTTAAGTGTCATGGCTGGAAAAGGGACAGGAGGGGGCCATACACTAATTTATCTGCCGTTAGCTTTCTTGAAGGGGTTAAGTCTTCTCTGCTCTTGTTTAATCTCCACACCTGGATCCAGAAAGCCATGTGATCAGAGTCTTGGAACTATCTTTATGGAGCCTTTAGCACATTACCTGGAAAAACGTCAAGGAGTTACATACAGATAAAGTAAAAATCATCTGCTTCATGAAATACGCTGTTAAACTTGTGAAATAGAATATCACATCTCTGTGGACGGAGTCCCCAAATCACTGGGTGGTATCTAATTCAAGGTCTTAGGGTCCTCTGAGTGACTTTCTTCACCAAGGTGAAGTTCATAGTGAACAGAAGAAATACCATAAATACAGGAAGAAGTTAGTTTCAGAGGAAATTTATATCCTCAGCCTAATATCAAAATGGCACCTGCTAAAATACCTGGAGGCTCAGGAGAAGATCCTAATTAGGGATAGGAGTGTCCTCAGAGAACAGCAGCTTCCTTTTGTAACCTCACGGATAGGTTATTTCTTATGTTTGGGCTTCTGTTCCTTTCCCATTCCCCTGGGAGTCTTGGCACAGCTGTGGTTGGCTTCTGGTTTCTGAGCCCCCCCCCCCCCCTGTGTGGACCTGTGTGTCCAGAACTTCCTGGGACAGCCCTGATCTCCAGCATCCATCCCAATGCCAACATTTCTCCATCCAGCCTGCATTTCTCAGAGCCTTAGGCATCCTTCTGTGATCTAGCTGGGACTGTCCAAACATGTCCCTCTACAGTGACCATGTCTAAAACGCAGAGACTGCCTCTCTCTGTTCATCCTTCAGACATACCCTGTCAGTGGACTGGGGTCACCCCAGCATCAGGTATAAGGCTCTTTGGGAATTCTCAGGAGGCCAAGGGACTCCCCAAGCTGGGGCATGCAAATGACCTGGGTGGCCCTTAGGATTATGTGCCTACTAGTCACCACATGTCTGCTAGCCTCCTAGAGAAGGGGCTCTCTGTTGGGTTTTTAATTTTTGCCCTGACAACCACAGTATGAGGTTCTAAGCTGAGGGGAGAAATTTAGGAGCTCGGAGAGCCCCTCATGGCAGCTGGATGGGGGGAAACATTCAGAACATCCTGCTCAGTGGACGGTAACACTGAATAGTTTGAAATACTTTGAAGCTCTCCCTGTTTGGCAGTGAAATTTAGTAACTAGACTAGATGAAATTGGTTTCCCTTTCCTACGAGCACCTAAAGCAGTAGCCTGTCATGTTTAGAGGTCTTAGAACTGAATTCTGTACGAATTAAGAACCCTCAGCTGTATAATTTAAAGCTATTGGAAATCTATTGCTCTTTTCCAGACACTCTTTGAAATGTTTTCTTTATAAATAGAATTACTTTGTCTAGAAAAAATAATAATCTGGGTGTACGTGACTATATGAAACTGATGAGAGAACAAATGCAAGTTATTAAATAATAATGATTTCTTGCACAAACAGCCATCAGTGGCCTATGTACATACCACGCCGGGCCTACCTTCAGGCTGGGAAGAAAGAAAAGATGCTAAGGGGCGCACATACTATGTCAATCATAACAATCGAACCACAACTTGGACTCGACCTATCATGCAGGTACGAAGATCACCATACAACTAAAATCACAGGTCTTACAAGCCAAAGTGATATGCCCTGCTTCCTGTTCCTGGTGTTTACGAATTGTTCTCAAAGACCCATGTTGGAAAAAAGCTTTCTCAACAAAGGACATGCATTATTTTAAGAATCGTAATTGCTTAAGGCAGAGTTTGGTCCTCAAATCAGTCTACCCCTGAATACAGTTTTAAAATGTGACGTGTACACTATTTTTGAAGCAAGAGGCTATCGCAATATGTAGCTCCCCCACCCCATTCCCCGCCTTTTATCTGAGGCTAGTTTTTATGCTGGGCTGGTGATTCATTTTTATCTCCCTTGAGTGTTTCCCCATCCTCTCCCCCATTATTATGTTTAATTATTTCCTCCACGCGTTGAATAGGCCAGCCCTCTTATTATTGCTGCTGTGTTGTTGTTTGGGCTCACACTCCTAATCGCACAGGCAGGGAGACCTTCCTGTGAAGCTAACTTGTTTTTGCCTCCAAAATAGCTTGCAGAAGACGGTGCGTCCGGATCAGCCACAAACAGTAACAACCATCTAATCGAGCCTCAGATCCGCCGACCTCGTAGCCTCAGTTCGCCAACAGTAACTTTATCTGCCCCACTGGAGGTGAGAAGGCTCCATCCTCTAACTGGGGTCACTCTGTCCTGTGACTTCTCATCCTTTCTTCTCTCTAAACTTTGACTTCCGTTTTGCAGCCACCGTGCTCTCTGATCAGTCGTTGTGTTGGTGGCGAGGGGTGTCCTTGTGCGGCCTGACCACATGCTTCTCTGTCTCGCCCAGTTAACATTCCTGGACTCTCACCCAGTTCTCATTCTCATTTGGCTGCGGCCATGGTGACTTGTGCTGGACGTGGGCACTCTCTCCTCGGGACTTTCACCATTCTCGTTGTGTTTTGCTCCTTCCTGCCTGTTACTTCATTAGAATTGCATAATAACTCCTTCAAATGCAGTGCTTATATTGAGTTTCAAACGTAGCTATTGCTTTGATCATTTTTTTTTTCTTTTGACTTGTAGGGTCTTTTCATTGTGTGGGCATGGTGTTTCTGATGCATACTTGCATCTCCGAGTCATGCTGGGCATCTGCTGTGCTCTCTGTCCTGTTTGTGTTGTTTAAGTGCCATCCTTTAACATCACAAATGTCAAGAGAGAGAAGCCAAAGAATAAACGTTTGGGGTCCTAAATCTGCCTGTGTCTTAGGGACAGCTATGGGTTTCTCCTTGCCCTGGGTCAAGATCCTGATAAGTGGGACTGGCTAATAAACAATCTTCCAAACTCTAATATAAATGTCCTGGGTAACAACTGTGAGAGTCCAGGGGGTTGTCTGCATTGAAACAGGTCTCTCTTTTTGTGCTCTAAGACTTGCCAACCTATTCTTCGTTAGATTGTGAGCTCGCTCAGAGCAGAGGCACGTTCCACTCCAGTCTGTGTACAATCTCCATGCATAATGCTGATACAACACAGTGATTTTGGTATGTACTGAATGGCTACCAAAGGATGGTAGCTATAAGTACTTCAGGTTACAGTGTGTTTAACCAACAGAAAAATATGTGAAGTTAGATGGATTTAAAAGTAAATGAATGACAGAAACAGGTTTTGTAGGAGCTTTCCCTGTGTCCATCCCCAAAGAGGAGCATTCTACAATACCCAGGTACATTTTGACACCTTGGAATAGCACATGATAAAGAGTTCTAATGCTCATTGTTGTTCCTTAGGGTGCCAAGGATTCCCCCGTACGTCGGGCTGTGAAAGATACCCTTTCCAATCCACAGTCCCCACAGCCATCACCTTACAACTCCCCCAAACCACAACACAAAGTCACACAGAGCTTCTTGCCACCCGGCTGGGAAATGAGGATAGCTCCAAACGGCCGGCCCTTCTTCATTGACCATAACACAAAGACTACAACCTGGGTAAGGCTGCTGCTTTTATTTGGCTCCATTTTTTCATCATGAAGTCTGGCGTTGATTCCTTTATTTCCTTACTCAGTAGTCAGAGTTCTTGTAGAGGAAATTTCATTAACTCTCAGATGTGTCTCCAGAAGGTCTCTCAGCACTCATCTCTTGGCTCTGCACGTGTGGGCAGGTGGGAGGGGGTGGGAGAGACCTGGGCTGGTAGCTGTCCTTGGAGTTGGTGCCAGGTGACACTGCCTTTGCTCGTAGCACTCCTAGAAATCATTCACCATATTTGGGGAAAAAAGGTTACCACTCTCTGGTGCTAGGATTTTAATGATACTGCATCACATCTCATGACATAACTTCATTAGGAATTACAATTGTCAAACAATTTTTTCTTCATCAGTTTCTTTTTGCATTTTTCTTCTGACACGACCCACCTTCATTTGATTCATCTCTTGAGTTTTTGCTGTTCACATCAGATTAGTATTTTACCTTTACATGCTACACGTTCATTGCTTTAATCATGGGTTAGGCCATGTCCTGGTGACTCTGCTTGTAAGTCTGACAGCTCTTCATTGTGAACATTTTGTCAAAATTGGTTTTTCTCACCATGCTGTTCTTTCATGCGCTCCTGAATCATATATAAGAAAGAATCTGTATGTTGAGCTAACTTGGGCAAAACAAGATTAACCAAAGGTGAATATTCACATCTTTATGTGTTTCTGTCAGTTCTTCATTTCCATAGCTGGGCCGGGGATGGCTTTTTCGATGTGGTGTATCATTCTTTTAAAAGTCAGTTGGTATTTTTCTACTACATAACGCCCTAGACGTGTAATTAAACTGAAATTGTTTTTCTTATTTCTGGCTATTTTTGATGCTGCAGACAGGTGGGTTTTTTTTTCTTCCTGTGCCTCATGTCACCTTGGGGTAGTTTTAACTCAAAGTTTAACTTAATCCTTCTAATATTATCTTGCTGTTTTTGCCTGATGTTACAGGAAGGCTGATGAAAGTTTGGAGATTATCATTGGCCATAGCTGTCTGGACGAACTCTTTAAATTCTCACGTTAGTGGTAATACCCAGTATGCTCATTTGGTAGGCCAGTGTCATAGTCAGGAAAAGGCCTTGACCAAGTCAGTCTGGGCTGTTGCTTTACCCTTTGCCTACAGTGTGTATTAACTCAGTCCGCTGAGATTGCTCTAGATGGCTATCTCAGAAATCTATGGATCAAGGTACACTTTGTCTCCTTGAGGGCATTTTGGCATTTGGGGCAGGACTGCCTTCACCTGCGGGTCATTAAACATCCCACCACGGAGAGCCACTGTCACCACCTACCCTAACAGTGATAACCAAAAATGTTTCCCACCACCCCTTAGTGGGAACCCCTCCAAAAGCCCTTTCTATTTTGAAGTAAGGAATGGCCCTGCCGAAAGAATTGATTATTTGCATCTGGTGACATTCATTTGGAAAACTGGTAACTACTTCCAAGGCGTACACTGACATGCAGGTTTATTTGACTCTCACCTTTTAGTCTGAAGGTAACATTAGAGGTTTGTGGGCAGGACTTGAGGGTAAGCAACAGGCAGCTCTTGGGAAAACAGAGAGATTGGTTTCTGCATCTTTTTTCTCACTGCCGCAGAGCCCGTGGCTGTCCTGCCCATGTTCCCATTGACTATAGCACAGCTGTGATTTCAAATCCTCAGTCAGAAATTGGGGCTCCAGAAATAGGGGGTAAATATTATAAAAGCAGATGGATTAGCGTATGGAGCCACTGTGGCTTGCCAACGTAAGCTATGATTTTAGTAATTCGACCTGGCTTAGTAATCAAATCCCCTAACCTTTTCGCAGCCTCACACACCACAACTGCAGTGTAATTGCAGCTGGGCAGCTATTTAAAACGGCAGCGGCTTTATTTATTCCCCTACATCGTGGCTGAAGAAAACGCAGTTTTCATTTCCACGCGTCCCTTTCTACCCAGATCCTCGTTACTGTGACTGATTTACTAATTGAAAATTTTAATTTGTCACCACAATATCTTGCTGCTTCTGTCGCGGGGAATCCTTAAGGTCACAACTGGAAATTCCGCAAGTTGCTGCCCTCCTTCACTCGACCCAGATGCGCTAACGCAGCTGTGCCATCTCTTCCAAACGAAGGCCTACACAGAATTCCCACGGTGGGGACATGCTCTGAACGGCCTGTTCCCTTCAGCAAAGGGTGGAGGGAAGTGTAAAGAGAACTTTGGGCCTAAAGTCTGTCTGGAGTTGGTTTGGGGGTTTGTTAGTTTAAAAGAGAGAAAGAACAAATGAGAGAATAGTGTTCGCTATTCAGAGATTTGAGCATCATAATAAAAAAAGGAAAAAAACCTGTAGGACAGGTTGAGAGTAATGAAAAGAGCCCTGCTCCCCCCATTGGTGAGAATCACAAAAAAAGTCAGGGCAACGTTTCCCCTACAGATGTTAAGAGAACACGGTTCCGTATGAAGTGTATTTATAAAATCCACCCTTTCACACACAGTATGAAATAATGAAGACAGTATGTCAGCCGTCTATTTGGAGCAAAGCCTGACCTCATCCCAAAAAAGAAGAGGAAAAAACATTGTCTGGCTTTGTCCCCACCTGGGTCAGGTCTTGTGGAGCCTGCCAGGTGGCTGAGGGGAGATGGCAGCTCGCCCTTTTTCTGTTGAGGGAATACCTCAAAGCATGTGTGTCCACGTTGGGTAGAGCCCTAATCTGAAAGTCGGAAATGCTCCAGACCCTAAAACTTCTTGAGCACCACGTGAGGCAAAAAAAAATGCTTATTGAAACATTCAAATTGCAGGTTTTCAGATTAAGGATGCTGAAACGATGTGATGCAAATATTCTGAAATCTGAAATACCTCTGGTCCCAAGCATTTCACATAAGAGTCCCTCAACCAGTCCTCATATATTGATGTCTTTTATAGGACAAAGGATTGGCTTGTTTTTTAAAAGCAAGATAGATTACACCAAAAGCAAGATAGATTACACTCATATATTTATGGCTTTTATAGGACGAAGGATTGGCTTATTTTTAAAAGCAAGATAGATTACACTGTAGTTAAGTTTCAGGTCTATTTTCTACCCACATTCAAACTAATAAAATTCACAACAGCCTAGATGTGATTGCTGTACTTTTCCAGGTTGGAAAAAATAAAGGAAAAAAGGCACAGTTATTTTTAAATAGGTCAGTAGTCTCATATTCATAATATATTTTAAATTTAGAAACTCCTCCCTTTTTTTTTGCATTTTTTGGCTGTGGCTGGGTTGGAACCCACCACCTCTGGTATATGGGGCCAACAGCCTACTCCTTTGAGCCGCCCAGGAAACCCTTTTTTAGAAATGATAGTCTGTATGTTCTGTTTAAAAACACTTTCAGTTGGATTGAGAGAAGCAGTTAATCAGGAAAGAGTTGTCTTGCTATGCTGAGGAAAGGGAGAAACAGATATTTTAATTGTTTGATTCATTTATATTTGCATAATCTGAGACCTCATTAATATCTGACCCCTTGTCATCCCTGAAGTCATCTGTCACAAATATACAGAACCTCTCTGCCACTCACCTGCTGGGTGAGCTATAGAGATGTCCACTTCCTGGAGTGGGTCAGTGGAAGTATGGAGACAGTAGTGACCTTGGCCTTAGCCCATAGAGCTTGATTACTGAGACCTTCTTCCATTATTTTGATTATCATTGGTATAATAAAATGATACATGATGTCCATAAAGTTCATGTGCAATTGAAAATACTCTGCAATTTACAATTGCACACGAACCTTATAGACAACCCATATAAGGCCTTTTGGCCCTCACATTCTGTGACATCTTAGTGGCCATTTTAGTACATCTGTGAAGTTGAGTTTATTTTCTACTTTATGTTCCACTATTGTCCCCTGGTACTTTTTAAAATTTTCTTTTTCTTTTTCCTTTGTACCACCAGCTTTTTACCAAAAGGACTGATTGCCTTTCACAGTAGAATGTGATTCTAAGCCGCAGACAGCCATGCATGGAGAGTTGAGCAGTGAGGGGCATTCTTGTGGAATGGTGGTCCTTGGGCCTTCTCTAAACCTGGCCTGTAATTGGCTTTGTGCAGTGCCAAGGGTTCCCCAGTTGTCGTGGCTTTACCTGGTCCAGCCCAGAGTGAGCACTGTGTGAGGAGCTTTTACCAACTTTTTCTCTCTGCCCATATTTAACCAATCACCAGTTACCAGATTATGAGCTTCTTGGACCTTCTAAATCCCAAATCTGCTCGGCATATTTATACTATACATGTTCCACTACACTACAAAATAGTGGATTTATTTTGTGCCTCTACTTCGACATTTAAAAAATATATTAGGGCTGGGCATGGTGGCTCATGCCCATAATACTAGCACTCTGGGATGCAGAGGCAGGTGGCTTATGCTTGAGAGTTCAAGACCAGCCTGAGCAAAAGCAAGACTTCTGTCTCTAAAAAGTAGCCAGGCCTTGTGGCAGGTGCCTGTAGTCCCAGTAACTTGGGAGGATGAGGCAGGAGGATCACCTGAGCCCAAGAGTTTGAAGTTGCTATGAGCTATGATGCCACAGCACTCTACCAAGGGCAACAAAGTGAGACTGGGTCTCAAAAATATGTATGTGT